CCTCCTCTTCCTCCTCCTCTTCCTCCTCCTCTTAATGTTCAATGCCAGGTTTCGGTGGCATTTTCAGCAAATGAGACCAGGCCAGGTGACTCCATATCTGTTAAAGTGCGAGCTGCAAAGGGAAGTTGTGTTTGTTTGGCCACAGTGGACAAAAGCATTTACCTCTTCAAGCCTGGGTTCCAGCTGACATCTGCCCAGGTGAGCAGCACCCACTTAGGAGTGAGGGATGCTTTGGTGCTATCAAACAACTGTGTCAAAGAGGGAAATGATGATATTTTATAAAGAACATAAACATAGCTCTAATGTAGGGATGGGCAAACTTAGGGTAGCCTGGAGCCGCACTTCAGTTTTTTGGAAGAACCAGGGTCGCAGTAGCCCACTTTAGACCTGGGCAGGGGTGAGATTTTTTTCCTAGGTATTTTAGGAGCATTTGGGGGACTTTCTGTTTTTATAAGTGTAAAAGGGCAGGAAACTATGCCATTTCAGTTTTCAGACTGGGGTCGGAAGGGGTTCTAGGGGTACAGAAAAGGGCTTCAAGTTGCCCATTCCTTTAATACAGTGTTGTCCAAACTTGGTCACTTTAAGATGAGTGAACTTCAACTCCCAGAATTCCCTAGCCAGCCATGCTGGCTGGGGAATTCTGGGAATTGAAGTCCACTCATCTTAAAGTGGCCAAGTTTGGACAACACTGCTTTAATAGATCAGACCAAGGTAAAGAATATTTTCTTCTCATGCAAGCAGCCAGAAAGCTACAAGTAAAACATGGACAGACACATTTTCCCACCATGATTCCTTACAAAACAATAGTCATTGCTTTAAAGTTATGACCATTGCTGCATTTTATGCCAGTGAGATGTGTAAGGTAACTATGTGTTGTGTGAAGAAACACTTGCTATTATCTGTCTTAAAACTCTTATTAGTTAGATACATTGGAGGACCCTACATTTTAATCTGAAGACCAAGCCCTTATTCTTCACATATCAGAACCGGATTTTGTTGATTACTTCTGAAAAGTGGAGCCTTTGAGTAATCCAGCAAGATAGTTACTTGTCCATGGCACACTCATGGACAAATGTTGTGTTATCTCCTTGTGCAGATCTTCCAGGAGCTTGGAGAGTATGATGTGTCCGATGCTTTTGGAACTCCAAAGGAAGAAGGGCACTTTTGGTGGCCAGGCTCAACACTACACAAGCGTCGTCGTCGTTCCTCCATCTTCCCCTGGCACTGGGACATTGCCAAAGATGCCCGCTGTGCATTTACGGTGAGGTCTTCCCTTCTTGGATAAATGTGGCATCTGCATGATGCCTTTTAAGGTGGTTGTAAAATTGCCAGCAGGATGAGAACATAGTCAAACAGAACAACTCAGCAGGTAACATAAAATCCACTTCATCACACTGCATGGAGAAGATTTAATCTTGTGTTGCTTTTCCTACCATATAAACTTAGGTTACTTCTGAACTAATCTCTTTCTCTGGAACTGCCATTCTTTGATCAGTGACATTTTATGGGTGATACAGGCATCATTATACAATAATAATAGGTTGCATATCCTATTTTTGCACCATAATAAATGTTTTATATCTCCCTTTTTTCATACTCGGTCTGTACCAATCTGGCGTAACACAATTGCAGAAAGTCATTTTTAGAGCTTATATGACTTTTCTTAAATATTTACTGTTTGGGTGCCTATTGTTTATCTGTTGATCTTTGTTGTATGATTTGTGATTAATAACCTTCTTAACAGTTTATCTTAAATTGCTCCAGCATTACTTTCTCTTTCCAAGGAAAGGGAGCTTTCGTTCCTGGTTTTCTCCCATTCTTTTTTCTGTTTTCCCCATTTCTCCCATTCTTTCTTTTTGTTTCCCCAATAGAAAATATTTTTCTGTTTTCCCCAGTAGAGAATGTTATTTAGCAAATAAAAAGAAGTAAACACCTAATTAAAACCATTTCTCACCCACCTACTCTTGAACAGAAATTAACATTGGATAGTTTTAGAGTCTATTCTAAGGGAAATTAACAGGAAATTCAGCACCAACTCCTCAGCCTAGATCAAGAGGTAAGCAATACTTCTTAGTCAATGTTACTGTGAGTAAATTTTATAGAAGGCTCTTGGCCACATCACTGGATGTCGTAGTGCTATGAGGAATTCTATTTTAATTCATAATTAATTACGGAAAAACAATTCTTTGACAGTACTAAAGAATTCTAGTGTAGAAATAGCATCTTGCTAGGCACTCAATCTTGCAACTCTAAAGTAACTGGATTATGTTGAGGTTTGGGGCAGGTTTTCCAATAAGCTTTGGACCAAGTCCACATATAGTAATTCTGGTGATAGGAGGCTCCTGAAGTTCTAGATCAGTGTCTCTCAACCTTGGCTGGCTGGGGAATTCTGGGAGTTGAAGTCCACGCATCTTAGAGTTGCTAAGGTCAAGAAACACTGTTCTAGATCCCCCAAACTGTTGCAGGAAGCACCGTGGAGTTAGAGAGAATAGTACAAACAAGGTAGAATCAGTTACGCAGAGCAGATTTCATGAGAACTTTGCAAACCTCTGAGAGGTTTGGAAGCCTTTTTGGAGAACATTGCCTGGGACATTCAGCTGTTTCTTGAGGGGCAAGAAAGGGCACCCAGAACTTGGCAACCATTCTGTGCATCTGGAGCGCCAGTTCTTTTCATGCTTAGAAGCCATTCTGCAGGCTGTATCCTTCCAGCAATTGAACCCAAATAGATTCTGAAAATCCCTCTGGCTCCCTCATCTTTATATCGTTATTATGGAGAAGTCCCCCCCCCCCGTTCTGAGAACTCTAAATTTGTTGCTGTTGCTGTGGCTGTTGGAAAGGCTTTCCTTTGGTGAGGAAGGAGGTGGCGTGATAGGTTAGTTTCTAAGTACATCTTGTGCTCAGATTCTTTGAGAAAGGAGTCCTTGGCACTCAGAGTAAAATGCTACTCTCTGCTTTCTCCAAACAGACCACTTTCCCCAACGAGGGCTGTCAACTGAGATAGCATAGGTGAAAATATTATTGGCTCCTACGTGCTTGGCAGAAGGGACACAGTCTTTTCTGTTCCCAGTGTGAAATGATTTCATTTTGACCAGGGGGAAAGAAAAGCTTATTAACAAACAAGCCAGATCATTTAAAATAAGTGGGGGGGGGAATTGACCGTCAAAAATAAACTGGAGTGGGCTCTGAGAGGGCCATAGGCAGCGTTCCTTGTAAAGAAGATGGGCTTGTCTGCTTTGGGAGGAAGGAGAAAGCTGATTCACCAGTAAGGATGAGTTTTTCTATTCTCTTCCTTTTAGTAACCAGCTTTTACACAAGGAAGTGTCCAAAAGAAGCGAATTCATATAGGACAAAAATATTACCTGAGGTAAAACTGCTATATCTGAACTGCAAATATCAGGATGATTGCTAGTTAGAAGCAGTGTGTTAGATGGTGTGTCTCTCTGCTGCCATCTAGCGGTTATCTGGATTTTTGCAAACCAGATGTGGTAGTCTTAGAGAAGGACATCTCCTCCTAACCAAAATAGGATCATATCTCAGGGTGGTTTGGGGCACAGTATTAAAAAAAAAATCCCAACAAAAACAAGACTTGTCTAATGTTTGGGAAATTACTACCTCATGAATTCTATGCTATTGATAGGGTGGGGGGCAGCATCTTTAAATTGGCAATTGCGGATCGATCGGCCTGGAATGCCGTCTGCAATGCAGCTCAAGGAATGCGGTCTGAGCTGAGGAGGGTCTGCGGTAGCTGCGGAAGAAGAAGATTTTCCCACTCGTTTCCTGAAAGCGGAGGCGACTCTCACAGAGTCCACTTTATTTTATTTTTGCTTGCCATTGTCTGGAAATTCCACTTAGATGATCTGAAAACTATGAAGCCAGTTTTCCTCAAAGCACCTGGTCTCTCTGGGGAAGAGAGGAGTCACGAAGGCTGGGGAAATCCCTGCAATGTCTAAATATTTGCCTGGTAACGGCCATTTGTGCTGGCCAGATTGACACAGTTTCCCTGTGTTTCAGAAGATCTTTCCTTCCATGGATAGTTGGGGGGGGGGCATTACTCTTTAATGGGACAGGCTGAATCAGTTTTTAACAGACATGGCCTTTTTGTTGTTGTTGTTGTTTCCTGTTGCCTAGGAAACCGGTTTAGTTGCAATGACTGATCTCGTCAGCTTAAACCATAGACAGCAGGGCAGCCTGTACACCGAGGAGGTTGTCCCAGCCTTCCAGCCTCACACCGGGATGCTGGTGGCTTCTACACCTTCCAAGGCCCAGCCCAGGTAGACCAAATGTTCTCTTTGTGGGAAACATCTGTTTGTCCCAAAGGCATGTTGTCCTGCCTTCCAACTCCGGGGCTGTTGTGCTGGAGATGGCCTTACTTGGCTCCATGGAATAAGGATTTAGGAGCCAGCTTGGCCTATCCGCTACTTGGGTGAGCCAAAGAGGCATGCCAGTGGGAAGTAACAGGCAGCCACAATTCCAACGATGTAACCCAAGTGGCATTGTTGTTCTGGGCACGGTGGCAGACACCTGCTCTTTTGCTCAGCAGGCAGTAAGGGTTGATAAGGAGATGCCAGATGGCACTCGTGATGGAATCAATGTGTGTGCATCCATGTGTGGTAGCTGATAATGCAACTGTGTTTTGGCCCCTTTGACTGGGAATGGAAATGTTTAATCACACGGCTTTGTGTTCCATGGGAGAACTGGGGGCGTTTGTTTCTTGCTTCCTGCCAACTGGTTGTGGAAGCATGAGACTGGCATGAGAAGCAAGGAATGAGGTGCTGACTAGGTCAGGGTTGCCCTTAGCTGGCCTCCCTAGGAGGGGCACCTCAATTTCCTCTAATAAATTGCTTTTTGTTTGGCAGAGTTCTCTAGGCAAATTATAAAAGTCTCTACATCATCGAAAACAATGATAAATGCAACAAAATAGAAACAGTAAATAGCATGCTGATATTATAAGAATAAAAACAAAAACTGGGCACTTAGATTCAAAACTACAGATGACTGGTAGAAAAGGAATGTTTTAACCTGGTGCCAGAAAGACATTAATATGAGCAGCTGGTAGGTTTCCCTGGGAAGGACAATTCTATGTTGGGCCCATAACTGAGAAGGTCCTCTTCTGTATGGCCACTTGGCCAACTGGATTGGGAGGAATACTTCAAAAAGGGCTTTGCAGATTGACCAGAGTTCCTAGGCAGATGCATAGATGAGGAGGGATTCTTTGGGATAATCTAGCCCCAAGCTGTTGAGAGATTTAAATACTAGCATCAGTAGCATGTTGCATGGGTCTGAAAACTGATTGGTAGGCTCTGCAGCTGATCAAGTGCTGGAGTCATATGATTGTATTGGTTATGACTTCTTGTCATAGTGGGGCATAAAGTAGGGTTTCATGGAGTTGCTGCTTCTGAAGGGGAATATTGCTTAGTTCTCTCAGCATGTACAAATCTCTTGCCTTCCACAGAGCAGACAAGAAGAAAAGAACATTCTTCCCAGAGACTTGGCTCTGGCAGTGCTTCAATGTCAGGTAATTTCTCCCCAATGTGGAGCCGTCTTCTGTAGTCTATAGGGGCCTGTTCTGCCTTGTGAATGAGGCACAAGCTTGTTCTGTGAGGAACCTGGAATTGCTGAGGTTTGTTATAAGTCAGAAAAAAAAATAGGAAAAAGTACTTCTCCAAGCTGGGGAATAGGGATTAAAAATAGAAAGGTGCCTTTTTATAAGCAAGTGTAAAATGATGCATGTTGAAAAGAGAGAAAAAAACATAACTCTACAAATATACTGATAACTTCTGAATGGCTGGTAACTAAAAAACGTGGGTGGTGATGAATAGCTTGATGAAACCATGAAACCAAATGTGAAGATGCTGTGAAAATGGCAAATTCTATATAGGTAGTCCTCGAGTTATGACCAACCATTCAGTGACTGTTCAAAGTTACGATGGTGCTGAACAAGGGAGAATTACAACCTGTCCGCAGTATCCCCGCAGTCATGTGATCACGATTCAGGTGCTTGGCAACCAGCTCAGACCAGACTGTAGTACCCCCCACCTGGCTGTGCTCACGCCGCACCACAGCACCCACCTGCACGCCCTCCCATACTCTGCTTGTGAGACTAGGACTTGAGACTTCCTGCTGGCTTCCCCATTAACTTTGCTTGTTGCAAGCCGGCAGAAAGTTGCAAGTCCTGGTCATGTGAGGTCCTCGCTTAATGATCCATGATCCTTGCTTAATGATGGTAATAGGAATTGCTGGGATTGCTGTTGGTAAGCGATGCGGTCACATGATGGATTTTATGACTGGATTGCTTAGTGATGGAAATTCTGGTCCCATTTGCCGTGGTAATCTGAGAACTACCTGTATTGTAGATCACTGAAAAGGAATTGAGAATGAAACCATTGATATTGTGGCACTCTGATGACATTTTAACCTTTTCTCATTAAAATCTAGTGAAATCATCCAGTGAAGCCGACAAGTGAGAGGCTCAGAATAAATATATGGCTGTCATGCAACACATTTTTTAAAATTTGCTTTGACTTTATACTCTGCCTTTCCATTTATGCAAACAGTCAAATTGATTAGAGCAATTAAAAAATGTAGACTATAAAACATAGCAATAAAATCAATGTAATCAAAATCAAGACCAAAAATTGAACCAGAAGTTAAAATCAATATTATTAAAATAATGAACAAACAAAAACTTGGTAAAAGAGTGTTCTTATGAGCTGTGGAATTCACTTCTGCAAGATGGAGTCATGGCTGCTAATTTGGTCTGCTTTGAAGGAGGTTGAAGAGATCAATGGAGGTTTAGACTGTAAACAACTATTAATTAATTTATTTGATCGATTATGTGCCATCAAATTAGTGTCAACTTAGTGACCACATAGATAGATATTCTCCATGACTATCTGTCCCTAACTTGGTCCTTCAGATCTTCCAACAATATACCCATTGCCACTGTAACTGAGTCCATCCATCTTGCTGCTAGTCTTCCTCTTCTTTTTTGCTTCCATCTTTCCCAGCATTAGAGCTGTTTCCAGAGAGCTAGGATTTCACTAAGTAGGATAATTTGAGCCTGGTCATTTGTGCCTCAACTCTGGATTGCTTTGTTCAATGATCCATTTGTTGTTTTCTTAGCTGTCCACAGTATTCTCAGAAGTCTTCTCCAACACCAAAGTTCAAAACGTCAATACTCTTTGCATCCTGTAGGTATAGATACATCATGGCATCTGAATATTTCTTCCAAGACCTTCATGGCTGCTTTACCAAGTGCTAATCTCTGGTGTATTTCTTGAGTGTTGTTCCTTTACTATTGATAGTTGATCCTAAAAGGCAGAAGCTATCCACCACTTCAATATCTTTATTGTCAGTTCTAAGGCTGGTTGTTGAACCTGTTGTGACTAGTTTGGGCTTCCTTATATTTAGTTTTAGTCTCATTTTTCACTGTGCTCCTACTTTTATTACTAGAGCTTGCAAATTCTTTGCATTTTCACCTATCAGAGTAGCATCATCAGCATAGTGCAAATTATTGATGTTTTTTTCTGCCGTTTTAAAACCACTCTCATCTTCTTCCAGTTCAACTTCCCTTAATATATATTTGGCGTATAAACTGAATGAATAAGGAGAGAGTATACAGCCTTGTTGCACTCCTTTGCCAACCTGGATCCAGTCAGTTTCACCATGTTTTGTCTGTATTGTGGCTTCCTGATCTGTATGTAGGTTTCGCATGAGAACAATGAGATATTCTAGGATTCCCATTTTTCTAAGCACATTCCACAGCTTGACATGATTGATACCGCTATTAATTATGGACTGTATAGTTTACTTGTTCAGTTGGATACAGACCATAATAATTTGTTTCTCAATATTAATTGCTGGAAGACTCAAGCAAGAGATGCCACTGCCTTCGTGTTATGTTTATGGGTTCCCCATAGTGTTGCAGGAACTTAGTGTTGGACTAGGCAGGGAGAGAGCAATCTATTTCAGCCAGGGCTATACCAACTTTTCTTCCATCCTGTGTCAAGGAGAATGTTGATGTCACAACCCTGTTTCAGGGGGTGAGCAGAGTTTAAAGGGAGGAATGGTGCATTTTGCTTGGATCCCATCTGAATCCTTTTAACATTTTAAATGAAGAATCTGCTGCCAAAACATCAGCCTCCAGGTTTTGGCTGCACGATCTTAAGGTGTTCTAGGAGTCACAGATGAGTTGCTGGGAAAGCTCGTCTTTGTCCATCCCTAGATTAGATAATTTTTTGGCTTCTGAACACAGAAAGAACTGTGGGGCATTCAATCAAAGATTTATCTAGTCCAGGGATGTGGACACTATTTGGTTGATCTTAAGACATATATCATGTGAAGCTTCCTACTGAATGTGGGGATTCCTGTAATTTTGAATAGGGGAGGAAACAATGTATTTCTATTGGCTTCAATAGAAAAACTGGAAATCCTTCCAAATGAGAATTGGCTGTGGGGCGCTTTCTCTCCAGAATGATAAGCTGCCCTTGGAAGAGGAAACAAAAGGCTTTTACTGATATCAGAGATTGTCTCTTAGGAAGTCTTGGGCCTTGTCAGAGGAGCCAAATAGCTGTCTGGGTGTGTTTATGCTCAGGTACCTGCTCTGGGAGAGAGCAAGTGCCATACAGTGTAAAAATTCTCGTTACTGGTCAGAATCCCAGTGGAAAGAATGGAGCCCATGGCTATTGTCTCATTAAAAGGCTCAAAGCACAACTGGAAGCTACTTTTGTCTGACAAGAATTGGCCTTAGCCAATTCATCCTTATGGGAAATGATAGCCAAATTTCTTCCTCTCTGTTTTTGTTATTATTTGATTAATAGGGGTCATTTTGTTGTAATTTAAGCCTTTTTTTAATCTGTTGATTTACATTCAAGGCATGGCAAGACAAGGAACAGCATAGCAGATACAATGATACTTAGCCTCCATTTTCTTTACCTAAATGTTAAATGGGGAATGTTCTGATGTTTCCTTAAGCCAGCAAAGAGAATTCCTTTTATAAAAATGATCTGGAAGCATCTTGATTTGGTTAGTACTGAGAAGGAAATACCTGAATGCAATTTTTTTCACTTCTAAACAAACACTGCATCTTTCATCTTTCCTTCTATCTTTTAAAATTCCTTTGCCCTTGCAGGACTGCTGGCAATCATACTGCTGTTGTCATTTTGCAAATAAGTATCCAGTGCTACATGGATGCTGGCTTTTCATTCAGCACTTGTCCTGTTCTTAAACTCTTTTCAGATTTGGAAATTCATTACTAAAGAGAAAGACATTAACTTGTTAGAAGAGCACCTTTGCATACACAAGACCCCAGGTTTAACCCAGTTAATAGTGTCTCATTTTTTTATGACGCCATAGAAAGAGCTGCTGCAAGGTCAGAGTGAAAGATAAGCCATGATGTGTTACCTAAGATAAAATTGCTTGGGTTCACACATTGTATGAAGCTTTAAACTATGGTTTATAAACTATAGTGATTGGGTTCATGCAAGAGTGTGAATGTATGGATGTTGGACAAGGGCTAAGAAAACCTGATTCAAGACCATGTTCAGCTATAGAGACTCACTGGTTGACTGGAGCAGTCACTGAGCCTCACCAGATGAGGTAATCATGGCACCTTTGTGCTGGAATTCTCCTTTGCATTATGTGATGTTCATTGCAAGCTACAGCCTGCTTGTTATAAAGAGAAAAAAGCACAGAATCTAGACAACCCTGAAGAAAGATATGAGTGGAAGATAAGTGCCTTTTTGTATCTCCCATTGCTGTCTTTGAAGGAAGGAGAAAGGACTGCTTTTCATGCCCCTTGGGGATTGGACTTGAGGCAGAACGGCAACAGAACAGGGGAGGAGGGCGAGGCCAACAGAGCAAATAAGGAGAGTGCAAGGGTCAAAAAGTCTCCCATACATGGCTGAGTGGCTGCTGCCAAAGTACAGAATGATGCACAGATAGGGAATTTGCAGAGAATATCCTGCACAGGGTGATTGTCTCTGCAAGGAACATGCAGGCTTGCATATGTGCAGTAGCCCCTCCATGACCCTTCCACTGGAGCCTTGTGATGGCAATGTGGCTAAAGGAGAGATAGGACTATGTGGCAGTAAGTTCCCCATGCCTTGCAGATTCCCTCACTGTTTTATGGAGCGTAGGGAGCTGCACGCATGGACATCACCCTGTGCTGAACCCATCTGAAATGCATAGAGAAGAAGATCAAACTGAGGGCACAGGCACAGTTGGCTTAATTTCCAGACTTACCCAGAGCTTACTATCGCCATCCAACCTTTCAGTAGGAGAGTGCTGTGAAGAAAACTTGAAAGGAAGGGTGCCATGTTCATTGCTGCTTCTTGCGTTCATACTTGATGCAATTCTTTTTAAAGCCTTTGGTACATCTTTCCCTGTCTCAGATGCTGCACTGATTCCCAATGACTCTTTTTTTCTCCTCTCCCATTTTTTTAAAGCGATGTTTCAGGAGAAGCCCAGCTGCGTGTTGAAGTTCCAGACTCCATCACCACATGGGTGATGGAGGCTGTTGGACTCTCTGAGAGAGGGCTAGGCTTGGCAAGACAAACTGAACTCAGGACCTTCAAGCCATTCTTCGTTGAGTTCACCCTTCCATACCACATAATCCGTGGGGAACAGGCGAAGATTCCTCTGACAGTCCACAATTACTTACCCATGTGTTTGGAGGTGAGATTGATTGATTGATTGATTGATTGACTGATTGATTTAAAAGACTGACAAGCTGCCCATCCTATATGCTAAAACTCTCGATGGATCACACCAATAGTGATAAAAATGTAAAAGAAACAGTAAAAATCAGCATCCAAAAAAGAATTCCCAGTGCCTTAAAACAACACTCCCCAGTATATAAACATCACAATCACTGGGCTCCAGCCTCACCCAATCCCAGTTACTGGTGGAAAAGCCAGCTTTTTAAGGCCTTCTGGAAGGCTAGAAGGGTGGGGATCTGCCCGAACTCAGGGAGGGTCTTCCACAGGGCAGGGGCCACTACTTCCTAGGTCCTGCTAGATGACAACCTTTAAGAGAAGCAACCTGGAGCACAGCCACTCTATCCAACCTGATGGAATGGGCAGATGTCCTTAGAGAGGCTGCCCTGCAGATAACCTGGCCCTGTGCCAGCACCTTGAATTGCACCTGCAAGGAAACTTAAACCAGTGCAGCTCACGCAGCAGTGGTGCAATACGGCAAACCAAGGGGCGCCTGAAACTGCACACACCATTGCATTCTGGACCAGTTGTAATTTCCTCATGGTCTTCAAGAGCGTCCCCATGGAGAGCGCATAGCAGTAATCGAACTGGGAAGTGACCAACCCCTGAGTGACTGTGAGCAAGGCTTCCCGGCCCAGGAATGTGTGCAAATGGCCAAGGTCCCCCCTACTCAAGGCTCCTGCTCCTTCAGCAGGGGCCGTGACTCTAGGAGGGACCCCCAGATTGTGCACCAGCTTTGCCCAGGCTACCCCACCAAGAGTGAAAAAAGTCCAGAGCTACTCCATCTTGATAGGGTTGAGTTGGAGCTGGTGCCTCACTATCCAGAGCCTCACAGCATCCAGCTGGTGTCAGCACCTGAATGGCATCACCTGAATGGCATCATCTGGGTGGAGATGTATAACTGAGTATCATCAGCATACTAATGACACTGCACGCATACTACTGAATAATCTCACCCAGTGGTTCAATGTAGATGTTAAAGAGGAACAGCAAGAGATCCAAGCCTTGAGGCACTCTACACAAGAGGGACCTAGGTTAGACCTCTTCCCCTGTGACCAACACTGACTGCAAAAGCGGAGTTGACCACGGTGGAAGGAGGAGAACCACTGCAAAAGAGTGTCCCCTGCTCCTAGTCCTGGTCCAGATGGATACCATTGTTGATTCTGTGTTTCTTGTCTGGGGAATGAGGCTTTTGTGAGAAAAGCAGTTGGTAGTGATTGACCCAGCAGCAAAGGCCACAGGATTCAAAATGTGGAGCTGTCTTTGGTTTGGTTGATTTATTTCAGAAGCAGGCAACCTACGGCCCGTGGGCAGTAAGCAATCCCCATCACTCCATTTGTGGCCTTGAAAATACCCTGAGATTGCAGTATTGAAATTCAGTGACAAAATAGCCAGTTTTAAGCCACACAGTTTTCTCTTGGTTTTGAATGTTTGGGCTGTTTTATAAGGCCTCTGGGAGGCCAAACACTCTCCATCTCATTTTTATAACCCACAAAATGAAATTAAAAGCTGTCTGAAAATGTTTGGTCCTGCTCCTCCTGGTGACATCACCACATCACTGAAAGGTCTCTCGCTGCCTTAAGAGCAACACAGTACATACGCAACCCACTTTACTTAGCAGAAAAAAATATATTACCAGGGATACTAATTAGATATTTGCCCTCACTGATCTCTTCTATACATTTTAAGGCACTAAAAAGATAACCTTCGTTTGTGCTAAGCTTGTGTGATCTTCTGCTATCACTACTTCAACGTTCTTTAGAATGACTCTGATGACTAGCTGGACTGATCCACTGAAATCACTGTTCATTCCCTGTAATCATACAGGTTCATGTGAAGATCTCGGTCGCCAAAGGCATCAAGTTTGTGGGACATCCTGGGAAGCATCACCTGACCAGGAAAAAATGTGTAGCCCCTGGCAAAGCCAAGCCCACATCTATTGTTCTCTCTTTCAGTGAACTGGGACAGAACAACATCACAGGTAGCTCATCTGGATGGTGATAACCACCTTACTTTGGCATTCTTTTGAAAAAAATGGAAGATGTTTGCATGGGATAGCTTCCACTGAGTGGATTTTGCATGTCTGCCTAGAGAAAACTATAGACATCTTTCATAAAAATGAACAGCATCTTATCCATAGTCTGCTAAAGGGAGAGAATGTAACACTCCTCCGGAACATAATCACTTTTTAATGCATTCTGAGCTGAGGCTTTTGCTGAGGAAGATAGAAACCTCTTGTGCAAGAATCCACAACCTGTGGTAGCCAATGGGCACATCTGGAATTTTGTGGACTATTTGGTGCTCTCACAAATGGCCGCCATGCAGGAAACTACCTGCAAAGCTCCTTCAGAATGTTTTCTACCATTTCAGTGTCCCTTTGCCATTGCTTTTTGAAAAATGAATGTATCAGCCATATATTGACTATAGCCACCCACCCAATAAGAAAAGCTACAGGTCCGTGTGTGACCTAGAGATGTTTTGGGAATGAATACCGTGTTGGAGGCTGGCCTTGCACCTTGAAGCTTGCCAGCTTCCTATCTATCTATCTATCTATCTATCTATCTATCTATCTATCTATCTATCTATCATCTATCTATTTCTTAAAAAAAAACCTAGAAGTTAAGGCAAAGGGTGTGCCAAGTGCCAAGAAAAATATCTGTGGCCACATTGAATTCTGCTGGGTTCCCATCAGGGACTGAGGTATTGAGAATTTGTATTTCTTTGTGTCATCTTTAGCAAAAGCTTTTGCTTATGGTGGAAGCAGCTGCTGCCAAGACAACATTCAACTCATGAAGAATGGCAAACACTCTGAGGATGCCCACATGGACAAGAGGACTCCTGTTGGGGTTGACTATGTACGGAGGAGTGTCATTATTGAGGTAAACGAATAGCAAAGTCACTGCCTTTTCAGAGAGATAGTTGCAGCTGGGAAGGAGAAATGACCATCATTAACTTCAAAATGCAGAAGCTAAAAGAGATACCACGTTTTCTGAGTAGATGGATAATAGTCTGAAGGATTTGTGATTTAAGAATCAAGACCCACTGATGCCCATGTGGGCCTACCTGGCAAGTCATATCTTTTTTTAAAAAAATTCTACTCATATTTCTACTTTCTGAGGTAGGTTGGTACTCCTGGAGAGAGGGGAACTATTTCCAAAGGATGCCTAATTGCAGAATTCTGTTTCCAATGATGTTCATATGTAGCTATTAGTGCTTTCCTTTAGGCATCACACCAAGCTTTTGGTCAAACTTTAATTATCATTCATTTTTACAACATTGACTGATTTCTTAGAATCTTTACTTATGTATACTAGGTTTGTATTTTTGCTTTGCTTTGTTTTGTGTTGTGTTGGGCGTTCAGTAAACTAATCTGAGAAATTTTTCTTGGGATACTTTTTGTTAAAGATAAAGGCACTGAATTTTGGTATAGGCATCTCTGAAAAAAAAATTCTCCCCCTGACTGTTGTGGGGATTTCCACTCTTTTGCAGCCAGAGGGACTGACCAGAGAATATACCTACAGTGTCTTCTTCTGCCCTAACGGTAAGAGAATTTCGGCAGCAGTTTCCCTCTCTGGCCTCGTCATCAAGCACTGCTACCTGCATTTAAAGGTCATGTCCCGATGACATTATCTTCTTCTCCTCCCTTGTCCCATTGTGGAAGCAGCTTTTGTTTGCCTTTAGCTGTTCAAGTTAGAGTTGAATTATCCCTCTTATCCCAAGAAAAGCCTTGCAGTATGAATGATCTACAGTGCCTCACTGACAAGGTTGGCAAGGATGTGGTCAGGCACTGGTTCTGCCCAGCTCCTGGTGGCCACTGGAGACTGCTGTGGGTGTGCCCTCTCTTCCAGTTACTGAGTATTACCCCCGGGGCCATTTTGGCTTGGGCTGATGGAGAAATGAGACATTTGATGCCATATAGGCATCTGCTTGGGTAATGCCTAATCAGTACTTTGCAAAGCACCATTGTATATTATGTAGACCCTTATGTTCATGGAGGTAGCACTCTTCTGAGTGTTCACTAGACTTCTTTTTTGTGTACAGGTGGTCTTACGATAGACTGCTAGACCTGTGGAGAGAGAGGTAGCTAAGGAGGTTAAACTGGGAAAAGAGCCAGATTCTGCCAGCTACGTACTGCTGATTCTTTTACCCCAAGTGAGAAGTGTGGGCAAAGTGAAATGGAGATCTCCTAATATTCTTCACAACCCCATCAGCACACTGGTGACCTGTGACTTGGCCTATTTATAAACACAGCCAAGCCTTCTTCAAAAATGCTAAATCGATGTCCAAAAATAATTTGCCTGACAGGTGGGTGGAGCAGAGGAGGGTCATGGAAGGAAGTAGACCTAGCGCCCCTCCTTTGGGCTATTTTTGAACACTACACTCATGTTTGGAAATAGTGTGAGTAATAGGTCACTGGCATGGATAGCTTTCACACTGGCAACCTGTCACTTAGGGACATGGACATTAGCTAAACCCACTATCCCAAGTAATTATTCACAGTTGCCCAAGCCTGACCCACCCACCCCCATGCTAAGGATGGTGACTAGTAGTTGGTTTTCCTGCTTGCACGTAATGCTGGGTGGGAGGGAAAACACAGTCGGGAATGCGTCAGTTGCTGTCCTTAAACTGCCCCACATTAAAACTGTAAGGACAGCATCACTTCCCTCCAGCATCATTCTTGAAGCTGATTAAAGCTCAGCTGTTGGGGCAGCACCACTCATAGGGCCACCAGGAAAACATCTGGGGTTGCGTGCACTCCATGGGCCATAAAATAAGAATCCAATGCTCCTTAACAAATGCTATTCTCAAAAATGTGACCATTTTGTTGGGATGACCCCAGAGCACTGTATCTTATTCTCTGGGAAAACATTATTTTAAAGAGTTTCATTACAATTAATCTCCAATCAAAACACATAAATAGCTTTGCCCTCTTGCTGAATGGTGAGAGTGGCCTTTGGAAAGGTGACTCGAAGAGTACTCCAAGCAATCTCGACTTGAGGATATGGAATCTGAGCTATTTGGTTGTGGCCTTGTTGCTGCTAAAACTATTTTACATGAGGGGAGATTTGTTTAAAAGAGGCCCATGAAGATGTGTCTTTGGAGGTGCATTGCTGTGAATGAGACTGAACACTGACAGTGTTTTTGGTTTATTTTTGACTAGAGAAAATTCACATTTCCACTCCTAATAAATATGAGTACCAGTATGTGCAGAAACCTGCCCACATGATGCGCTTTGATGTTGCCATCAAGGCCCACAATAACGCCCACATCGCTTTGTCCTCTGCCCCCCATGACATGGCGGAGATGACTGAAATTGTCATTGGTGGGCACCAGAACTCCAAAACTTGGATCTCTACTAGCAAGATGGGTGAGCCAGTGGCCAGCACAGAGACTACTGGCATCCTTTCGTGGGACGAGTTCCGAAGTTTTTGGATCAGCTGGGCCCATGGAGTCATCCAGGTGGGGGATTTTGTTTTCTTCTCATTTTTCTTTTATTCATTGCTTAATGCATTCATTAGTCCTCCTTAAGCAGCTCATGATAATATGCATCTCCTGCCTGGATTTTGGTGTGTTATTTTTCTTTGTGCAGGTGGGCCACGGCCCCTTCGCTCTCAACGAGTCCATCATTGTGACTTGGGCCACCTCCAAGCAGCCAGAGGTGAAGTATATCGGCTTCTCCACAGGTTGGGGTTCTGCAGGCGAATTCAAAATCTGGAGGAAAGAGGAGACAGATGAGAATCACAATGAAGCATTCACACTGGGCGTTCCTCACAATGTGATTCCAGGCTCAGAGAGAGCGACTGCCTCTATTATTGGTATGAGCACTGGGAACAGAGTTGCTAAAGTCAGCTGGATAGAGTGCAGTATTGTGACAGACTCATGGTAGAAGTTCATACTATATCAGCATAACCTATCTGTATGGGACCAAAGAAGGATTTATTGAGTGCCTCAATGGGTATTTCTCAAGCAGAGCACAAAAATTACAATTCTTCCCTGTCTGCTAATTTCCCTAGAGCTAGATTCAGAGGTACATTGTCTCTGGTTTAGGATACTTCGTTTTTAGTTTTATTTAATAACAATTGCAGCTTAAGAATGAATTTGTGATTCATTCCACAATACGTACCAATGCAGAAGACTATTTGCAACTATTCACTCTAAAACGGTGAGGAGGAATCAGCAGGAGCAGCTGATACTTCATAATATGCTGTCTTGGAACACAGAGGCTCCATTCAGCTAGTGTGACTAATGTGCGTAAATATATCTAATCTCTTTATCAAAATAATCTAAGATTACATTGACCATGGAAGAGAATCTTCCCTTCAGGGCATGATCTCATTGTTCCTGGGAAATGTAATGTGGTAAGTAATACTTGGTTACAATGCCATAGGATGCTGTTTGCATATGTTAATAAGATTTTGGTCTAGAAGGTTTTTTTCTTAGCATCTCAGTTTTTCAGGAAACTACTTCTAGTCTCAGGTGGCTTTCCTATATTTGACTATTTCAGGGAGAATAATCTAGATCAGCGGGTAAGATCTGAGTTGGCATCAGATCTGTGATTGATTTTTCTTTTTAAGATGGGATTCTGAAGGTACATCAGTGTTTCCTAAATTTAAAAGCAAGAGCACACGCTTAAAAATGTTTTCTGTTAAGGTCTGATGTTCAATTATTTCACTATTAATTTTGCTTAAGACTCTTGGGAACTTGGTTGGATCAGACTAACACTCTTTCATTGCAAGAATTTTAGTCATCACTAAGTTCTTGGGCATCTCCATCGACTGGATTTCTCATATATTATATAATATAAATTAAATATAAGTAGGTACCTTTATTGTGGCAGTGTAATCCCATTTTGTGAATTGCATATAAATAGGAAACCAATAGCTACAAATATTAAATTCAGTATAGAGTTTGATACGTTTGGGTGTCACAGCTATATGAAGTCTTTGAAAATCTTTTTTTTGTGTGCGGTCCATATAACTGCATGGAACCAGGAATGCTGAGAACCGACAGTAGAATTCCTGATCACAGAACAGTATTCGAAGCCCTATAATAGGTTTAATAGTTTTTAAAAATAGCTTCCTGTGCCTGCACTCATTTTTCATCCCACCCTCCTTGTGCCCTGCTCCAAAATATCAACTGTGACCCTCAGAGTCCAAAATGCACTGCTTGAGTGCAGTTGCTTTTCCTTCAGATAAATATGAAGGATTCAGATAAAATGCCTTTGCAGATTTTGACACAATTGATTTTTTTCCCTATTACAAAAGTTCCCCAAATTCTAGTACCCCTCAGTACCTTTGCTTTTCAAATGTAGTGACTAGTATAGATGGCCTTTCCTTGGATAAGTAGGAAGGATTTATGCAACACACTAAGATAGAAAAAGCAAACAAACCAAAGTTTCAGCTACTATATATTTAAGCACATTTAAGAATACAAGTATCCCTAAATACAAGTGTTCTCAAAATACTCATTTGAGAACCACCCCCAATATACTTTTTTCTCTTAGCATCCTATGATAATGATACTTTTTCGTTCCATTTTTGTTGGTGGTGTTGGGCTATTGAACTTGATGGCCTAGAAAACTGGGAAGCCTGAGATCACCCAAAATATTGAAATAGCATCTAAGGATACATGATGATCTTGGTTTTACTGCCTTGAATGAAAAGCCTGGATTCATTTACTTCTTTTAAATACTGAGCCATATTTTGCATTGGGCCCTCTCCAAGTATGGGGTTGGACAATTGCTTCCAATGTACCCTGTAAAAAAGACCTTAGACCAGAGTTTTTCAACCCTGGCAACTTGAAGATGCATGAACTTCAACTCCCATGCTGGCTGGGAAATTCTGGGAGTTGAAGTCCAAGCATCTTCAAGTTGCCAAGGTTGAGAGAAACTGTGCTAGACTGATGGTTCACTTGTGGACTGTGCTCTGTTGTCTGTTCACTCCCACCTGGGAGAATCAGATGTGACCATCTTAGAGGGCAATTTTTTCTGGCTGATACCATGCTCTTCTTTTGGTACCAGGAGATGTGATGGGACCAACACTGAACAATCTGGATAACCTCCTGCAACTGCCCTTTGGTTGTGGAGAGCAGAACATGATCCATTTTGCTCCCAACATCTTTGTCCTCAAGTATCTTCAGAAGACCAAACAACTTAGCCCGGAGGTAGAGAGTGAAGCCACCGATTACCTAGTGCAAGGTACTGACCCTTTAAAGGCCACAGGGATATTTTCTAAGAGAAGATTCAGAAAACAATTGCTTCTGGCCTCAACATGCACAAAGTTTCACTTCAGAAAATAAACTGTGACCTATATATTCAGGTTCTGTGTAGTGTCTTATGGGTTCTTTCCAGGATACCAGCGCCAACTGACCTACAAGAGGCAAGATGGTTCCTACAGTGCCTTTGGGGAAAGGGATTCCTCGGGGAGCATGTGGTATGTGGCAAATCAATGGGTAGGAAGATAACATTACATTGTCCTTTCATATGTTCAGGGCATCTGCACATGTGGCGTTAATACTGACATTGGGCTTCTGCAGCTAAACCAAAACATTTTTGGTTTAGTTGAAGCGCAGAAGATACTGAGACAACAGTTGTATTACACAAACACTAGGACCACAAAGTGGGTGGTTTCTCATTGGCAGGAGAAATTGCCTCCTGGCTCTGTTGCTGCTTTCCCACTCAAGTCATGGCATTTCATTTCATTGTGCTTTGTTGAAATTGAACAATCCTCTCCCTCCCTGCTGAAGCCACCATTCACCACCACCACCACCACCACCACCACCATCATCATCATCATCATCATCATCATCATCATCATCATT